TCTATAGGACTTTTTTTCTTAGTTTTTTACTCCTCTACACGCTCCCGAAGTTTTGCCATTTAATTTGGAAACACCCTGTATATATATATATATATATAGTATATAATAAATAGGGTGTATCTATTTACATATATGAGCTGAATTTCTATATCTGTGAATAAATTTGAAAAATTTAAGGATATATAATTAATTATTAATATTTTCAACTTTTAATATTTTATTTATATATTATTTATCATACTTGTAGCTTATAAACAAAAAATGATGTTTACCTTCTTTTTTCGACCAAAAAACTATGATTCTAATCGAGCAGCTCAGAACTGGTAAAGTAATTTGTAAATTATCTAATATCAGCAAAATGTCTCCAAAAACTATTATCAGTGAATGTATTGAAGGAATAAAAAGGCAGAATGTTATTCCCAGAAAAGCTATCAACACTCGAAAATTGCACATTAATTTTTGCCAAGGATTTTGTATGTTCTCAGGCCAAAGTCCAAGGAAATCTAAAGTGAAACGATTTAGTTTCACCGCCCATTCGAAATCTATCTGCAGAAATCTTAGTAAGTTCAAAATTTATTAAAACGGTCACTGTATTGTTTTAAATATGCTTAAGTAAAACCATAGTTAAATAACTTCACTTTTCAATAACCACAGATCTAATTATAATAATCACTTTTTAATAATCACGCAAGTTGAGAAAATAGTAGATACCGACAATAAGAATCACTCAAAATTTCAAGTTAGATGCGTATCTAATTTCAATAAATTAACACAAACACTATTATAAAATAGAATAACTACAAATTTTTTAAGGTTATCGTTAGTCGGATAAATTGTAATGAAAATATTTCTATTGACACTTTCTCAATTACAGTCATTTACAATAATCAAGAAAATATAAACACCTTGGTATCCATTATATTTAGAAGTTTCCATGTCGAATGTTGTCTAGTGTCTGACGTCTGCTTCTCTTTCATGAATCGACGTTACCTCGTATTCAGAGGAAAACGTTTCTCGCGCATGCCCTCAATAATTTTTGTGAGAGACGAACAAAGTATTAAGTATTAAATATTCTGTACTTTCGTCTGAAGTTTCCATGACTTGAATATCGAACATCGCACAAAACATTTGCGAATAAAAAAATTAATAACAGACGGATACCATGTCCGCAAAAAAGGATGTATGTATATATCCATTGTCCTCTTACACTTCTATAATTGGCTATAGCTTTTAACTATAGTTAGTAATAGACTATATATAATACATTAAAATGTGTTCGTTGGTAACAATTGCTGTAGCAATCTATGCTCACCACATCTTCCTCTTTTGTTGTTATTAATTCTATGTATATAATCTTCTGTCATTAGATAATAAATTGATTGGTAAAATTAGTTTTAAAATATAAGATAATACATTAATTTAAAACATAAATTATCTGACGAATTACTTATTTTGGGGTAAATGTGTGTGTGAGCGTGTGTGTGTGTGTGTGTGTGTGTGTGTGTGTGTGTGTGTGTGTGTGTGTAATGCGCGTGTGTATTGAAATTTGAACATGTAGTATATATTGAAAATTTATATCTCAACTAACTTTCAAAATATGCTATTAAAATATAAGGTGTATTTGTGTGTTATTATATGTATATATTGTAATACAAAATAAATAGAAAAGTTAAT